GCCTCAAGAATGAAAGGTGAATTTCCTCGACGATAAGAGACAAATCTAGATCGAATACTCATCATGAATTCTGAAGTATCTGCAGACCTCGATTGGTCATCCACACGTACATCAGGATGAGACGATGATGTTAATGGATTCCAGCAAAAGTTATCGGTGTTCATCGCTCCACATATAAATTCCCGACAATTAACGACATTTTTCTCCCAAGATTGAAAAGCATTCGGAGTTTTGACATATCTTCGAATTATAGTGCGAGAATAACTCTTGTCTACATGAGCATAAACACCTCGGACAAAATAAGTTGCTGCCCAAGCATAAAGAAAATGTCCAGAAAATGAATGTGAAATTGAGCCAAGGTCTGGATTTGCCTGATAGTTAGATGTTCGTGTAAGTCCACTATAAATGCTCACCAATATGGGTGGAACCAGACTATAAGTATATCCGCCTACCATCCTAGAAGATGGTTTAAAAGTCTCGACTCTTATATTTTCGTCCCCAGATGAAAGAACAAAGCGACAAAGCCATAGGGAGAGATAGGCTGCTATCTCTAATTTCTCTTCTTCTTTCATAGACAGAGATACTGGAAAATTGCCCCAATGACGTCGATCCCTACGAATAATGTCTCTCGGCTTGTCTGCCACCACGGGCCTCCGTATTTCCTACGATGTTCTTTGATGGCGCCTTTTGAATGGATTTAAATTCATAGCATTCTTATAATTTTTGTGTTGTCGAGGGTTCGGGACACAACCATTCTCATGAAACCAAAAAAATTAATCCACTATTCGTGAGTAACTCTGTCAGATTCGTTCGCATGGGCAATCAATGCGAAAACATTAAAGAGATACAAACAAGACTTGGGAAGATGATCCGTCAACTCTGAAAGGCTTGGGACTACTTCCTCATAATAATGACCCATGATCGAAAGTCCACTTATCTCGCGGATGTCCCAAAGAAAAATGCTAAATTCACCATTGGCAGTCACAAAGGTGTTGGTTTCTGGACACCAAACCTCACAAAGAGCTCTGTAAATGGAGTTTGGGCGATGGTAATCTTTTGCAGCAGAACCGACTGCAAAAGCTAACTCGCGGAGATTCCTCTTGAACAAAAGTTTCTGGACCCACAAAGACCACTCCCAAAATTTTGAAAGAAAAGAAATCTCTCCTTGACTGACCAGTGCGCTTCCCCCATCGTATTTCTCTATTATCAATTCTCTCACAAATCACAGCCCTTGGGATGTACTCCATGCTCTGGGAATGATGAGGCGGAAGACACAAAGAGGGAAGATGACTGCTAGAGCGATTGGACTTGCCAGTATCCAAACTCTCGTGACATTCACTAATGGTGGACATATGCAACTCCAACAATGGCTCCAGAAGGTCGGGGGAAGGATTTCTTGTTGGCTTGTGGACACTAAATTTAAGTTCACCTCGTACGCTTGTTTGGGCATGGTACTTCACATCGGTATCTTTGAAACGCAGATAACTTTTGTCTTGATTTTTAAGCTCAACAATTTCGTGCATGTCAGAGCACACTTTATCATAAGAACTTGTTCCAGCCATGCTTGCAAAAAAAAATAATAATAAAAAAAATGGGGGGACAGTAAACCTCTCAAATTGGTCTATTATCTAAAATCCCGAGTTTCCCAAATGTGTAAGTAGTGTCTATAAAAAAATGTCTTAGATGATGGAAGGAACCAGTCCTTGGTCCTTGACACAAAGTGCCTTGGACGATGGAATGAACTAGTCATTAGTCCTTAACAAAGTGTCTTGGACAGTTGAAGGAGCCAGTCCTTGGTCCTTAACAAAAAGTGAGAGCCAGCCCTTGATCCTCAACACAAAGTGTCTTGGACAGTTGAAGGAGCCAGTCCTTGATCCTCAACACAAAGTGTCTTGGACAATGGAAGGAACCAATCCTTAGTCCTTAACACAAAGTGTCTTGGACAGTTGAGAGAGTCATTCCTTGGTCCTCAACACAAAGTGTCTTGGACGATGAAAGGAACAAGTCATTGGTCCTCAACACAAAGTGTCTTGGACAGTTGAAGAAGCCAGTCCTTCGTCCTCAACACAAAGTG